TACATACATACATACTCACACACAGACATATACCGAGAGTCACCCATCTACTACAGCAGCACCCTCTATTACTCTAGTAGCGGCGGCTCTTCTGCTGGCTCTCCAACATCTTGGTCATCCTCCCCATCGTGTCAAGGGCCTGACCCAACTGGCTCAAGTGGGTTCTCATCATGGAGTTTCGCTTCTGCTGCTCCTTCTGCCCGGCACGGATTCGCACTCGGTCACGTCCGGAGCCCTTCCTGGGCAGAGGAGTTCTTACTTGTTTTCGTTTCTAAGGGTTTGAGGGTTCAGGGTTTACATTTTATGTCTCATATCTATACACAGGGGTCTATGTGTGTATGAAACCTAAATACCCTTTTATATCTGTATACATGTATGTATATATATATATATATCTATATGTACATATAGATACTTTATGTAGGTTCCTGATATGATATACATTCTAGATACTACAGCTTCGGTATATGGTTTTCTCATTAGGAAGTGAAGGTCCCTATTATTGAAACACATATAAGAAAGTATGCTAGAGTTGGTTGCCACAACCCACCGGGCTTATATCTAGTTAAGCTCATATCTAGTTCAGGCCGTATCGGGTTGCATGCACCCCAGGATTTGTTAAAATAAATAAAGCAAGTGTTCTAGACGAGGTATAAAGGGTTATAAGTGGCATTGCAGGGCCCAGGCAAAAATCTCTATAGGAAGTCGGGACCTTGAACTATTAAGTCTGTATGCATGTTATAGACCAAGACCCAAACCTTTATGTAGCATAGCCGACTGTATAGTTAAGCATCTAGGAAGAGAGAAAGAGAAAAAGCCACAAACCCATGCACTGCTGCCCAAGTTTCGGGTAAAAGCGGCCATCGGCCGAGATCCATCCGCCTTTAACATAGCTGCCCTTCTTCGACGAGCTCGAGGAAGTGGATCGCGAGTCCTCGTGCCCATGGTAGCCGCCGCGGTAGCCGAACTGCTCCTCCTTCTTCGGCCACGTCTTCCACGAGCCGTCGTCGTGGCTGCCACCGCCGCCCCAATTGGAGCTGTTCCAGCCACCATCCTCGGTCCACGAGTCCTCGCGGGACTCCTCCCAGCTTTCCTCCTCCTGCTTCCATGCTGGGTTCCATTCCTCCGCCTCTACCTCCATCTCCTCCCACTCCTCGCACCATGCAGCATCCTGAACGCCGTGCATGGGCTCCGAGTGCTCCTCGGTCTTCACCTCGTCTGCCATGGCGGAAGCTGCAGCTTGGAAATTCGCACAACCTCCACTTGCACAAACAAAGGCTCGTGCAGAAAATGTGCAACATGAGACAGAAGTTCTCACTGCACTGACACGAAACATGCACTCCACTGCCTACTGCATCTCAGGTGCACATGCAGAACTGGTCAGAAGCACATGCAGAACGTGGCAGAAGTGCATATGCAGAACCTGCATGACATCTCTACAGCTCCATCTCTCCATCTCTCCATCTCTCCATCTCTCCATCTCTCCATCTCTCCATCTCCCTCTCTCTCTCTCTCTCTCTCTCTCTCTATACCTGTCTCCCTCTATATCTCTATCGTCATATCTCTTCATATCTGTACATCAACATATAGCTATACATATCTATATATATATACATACATATATGTAGATCTATATATACATGTAGATGTCTACATATATAAAATATGTATATATATATGTGTATACATATGTACATATATATGTATATACATACATATGTATATATGTATATACACCGACACCATAAACATGCACCGTTATAAGTGCTACATAGACATTTCCATCTGCAACTTCATAGCACCGACACACGAAGTGGCAACATGTTCCAGCTGGACATTCTGCAAAAGCCCTGGTGTTTCCATGGGTCGTACTTCGAGCAAGCAAGGAAAATCGTCTCGAGATCGGGGACAATCACTCGTCCTCTACTGCAGCACCCTCAGGTTCGTCATCCTCGCCGTCTAGAGCTAAATCGGGTGCTTCAGCATCACCTTTCGGCTTTCTACCCCGCTTCCTCATTCGCTTGGGGCTCCCGAACTTGCCCTTCTTAGGCTGCTGGACAAAAGGCTCGGATTCCTTGATGGCATGACGAACGTAGGAGAGGTTGGCTTCAGTCAATTCCATAAACAAGTCACTCTTCGTGCCCCAGAGAAAATTGATCTGCCTTGCCGGCTCCAAGACCTGTTA